CATTGCCAGGACTCTTCTTTAAGTATTTTAAGATTCGATGCACAGCCCTTAAATGTTCTTCGGTTGGGTTGTTTATGAATCTGTTTACCATGCTAATTGAAAAATTGATATATGGTCTTGAATGAGAGAGGTAGATAAGTTTTCTTACAAGTTTTTAATATCTGCCCTTATTTGTTGGTGGACTTTCTTCTTCTATTCATACCTTATTCATTGTTCCATAGAGGTGTCAGCAAGTTTGTATCTAAGCATTCCAGTTTCCTTTAGTAAGTCTAGGACATATTTACACTATGAAATAGAGATGTCATTCTTTGAACAAGCTACCTTTATGCCAACAAAATATTTAAGGTATCCCAAATCTTTGATTTCAAATTCTTTGGCTATGAGGTTCTTAAGGTTACTAATTTCTTCCACATAGTCTCCAATAAAAATAACGTCACCTACATAGATAATAAGAATGGTTATTTTTCCTTCAGGTGAATGTTTAACGAACATGGTATGATTGGTCTAGCATTGTGAAAAACCATAATTTTTTTATCACTTTTGTTAGTCTATCAAACCATGTACATGGGTATTGTTTGAAACCATATAAAGACTTTTGAAGTCTACATACCTTGCCAAAATTATCTTAGTTTTTGAATCCTAAAGGGATTTTCATGCAAACTTTTTCTTCTAGGTCATTATTAAGAAATGCATTTTTGACATCTTGCTGGTGAAGTGACCAATCTAGATTTGCTACCAATAATAATAACACCCAGATTGAATTAAGTTTAGCAACCGAAGCAAATGTCTCATCATAATCAACACCATAAGATTAAGTAAATCCTTTTGCAATAATGTGAGCTTTGAATCTGATAATACTTTCATTTGCATTATGTTTAATAGTAAAAATCCATTTGCACCTAACTAGATTTTTTCCTTTAGGTAGTTTTGAAATCTCTCATGTTTTGTTCTTTTCTAGAGCCCTAATTTTTTTCAAAACAACCATATTCCATTTTGGCTACATGAGTGCTTCATGAATATTATTGAAAATCTGCATATTATTTAATATAGTAACAAGAGCCTAATAAGTAGGTAATAAACCTCTATAAGAAACCACATTACAAATTGGATTTTGAGTACACGATCTTACACCTTTCCTTAGAGTAATTAATTGATCAAGATCATCAAAATATTCAATTGAATCAGATTCAGTACGAATGTTACCTTTGTTGGTTTCAAGTATCTCTGGAATTGGTTTAAACTCTTGGTTTTGCTTTGAAGGTGTATATTCTCCTAGATCCTTATGAATTTTATGTCTTCTTGAATAGACAATTTTTTATTTGTTTTCCCTTGTATGGCCTTTGGGCTTGGAAGATCTGGTTGGATATTTTGGACTTAAAAGGGAATTAGAGGATCTGGTTGGATTTTTAGACTTGAAAGGGAGTTGAAGGATCTAATTGGATATTTTGGATGTAAAAGAGAGTTTGAGGAGTGTTTGATGGTTCAGTAATACGATCTTTGCAATGTTGATATTCCTATATGATTGGTTCTCCCCCTAAATAGCAGTTTTGAGAAAGTAAGGTTGATTTTCAAAAAAGGTAACATTCATGGAATGGTAAAAAGTTTTTTGCTATTGGTGAGTAACACTTATATCCTTTTTTATTCGGGCAGTATCCAAGAAATATACGTTTGATGGATTTGGGATCTAATTTGCTTTGGTTTTGTTGACTGGTAAAAATAAATATACTGTATCCAAACACTTTAATGAAATAGACAAGATGATTCAAATGTGAGGATAGTAACTGAGAAGGAATTGGTAAGGACTTTGAAATTTCAAAACTCGGTAAGGTATTTTATTTATAAGATATATAGCGGTAAAAATAGCCTCACCCAAAAAATGTTTAGGTACATGGACAGCCATCATGAGAGCTCTTACAACTTCCAACAAATGTCAATTCTTCCTTTCAGCAATGCCATTCTATTAAGGAGTATTAACATATGAGCTTTGATGAATTATACTATACTTCATTAGATGTGATCCAAGGATTGAATTATAATATTCTCTTCCATTGTCGATTCGTAACACTTGGATTTTGGTTTTGAATTGAGTTTGGATCATATTGTTGAAGTTTTAGTAGAGCTAGCCCATTTTTAAGTTTTTCTTCATAAAGAATACCCAAGTAACCATAATGTGATCATTAATAAATGTGACAAACTGTTTGGAGCCAATAATGTTATTTACTCTAGAAAG